GATAATAAGTTGTCATTTTCAGTATTCTTAGTTTTAATATTATTTACGTTCTAATCACTCAGTCAACGGTAAGTAATATTTAAAACATTTACGAAATAAAACTCAAAAATAGAGAGGCGCCATGCTAGGACGTGCCCGTGAGTTTCCAAACTTTCAATAAATCTCAACATAAGTAAGTAGATAATGTAGTGGGTTTAATAAAGGGTCGGAGCCGCATTTACTGTGTATTAATCTTTTACTTTTGGATGAAAACCTAGGTTTGGGTAAAATCCGAGGGTGTTAATGTTTGGTTTTTGTTTCTATAAAAGTTGTAAACTATTCTTATAATTAATACAAAATGAAGAACTTTGTTTTCATATCTATATATTATATATATATAATATCTATCATATATATATAGAATATATATAATATATATATATATATTGGGGTACATCAGAGGGTGTTAATGTTTGGTTTGTTGTTTTCTATAACTAGTTATAACAGGACTATTTTTTATAATTAATACAAAATGAAGAACTTTGTTTATATATATATCGCTTTGTAAGTCGTTCATTAAGTAATACCAAACACTAATTAAGACTAATGTAAATGAATTACTCATTCGATGAACATACAACTATAAGAAACACATGTGAAGATAATCTGGTTCCTCGTGGAAGCCAACCAAAAAGAAAAAAAAAAAATATGAGTGAGACTTATTTAGAGGTGATCGCCAATTTTCCCACGTAAGGTTTGCCGGCAATACATTTTTCCACTCATAAATCTGAATTGACATTTGATTATCACTTACATTTCACTAAACTTTTTATCTGATGCACTGTGGGCGAGCTCACACGAAATTTGAGAACCTAGCGTGCCGTGTTTAGGCGACATTAGTTTTTTAAAGTTGGTGCACACTCCTACAATAATAGTAATACTAGAATTTATGCGTCTCCCAAATTTCATTACAAAGTGCGATCATTCATTCAAATGCAAACTAATACAAAGTAGATAGCAATAGACACTAGCCTATGATCATACTAAATCTCAAATGGTTATTAAATGCTAGGTCCTCTTTCCAAATACAGCTCGATTATTCCCATTAAAATATCGTCATGTTTGTGCGTATCTAGAAAGGAAGACAAGCCTATTGATCGACAATCAATCAATTCAATTGGGTCAATCTTGCGTGGCCGTGTGATCGTAAGCTAACAACTCAGTGGGTCAATCTTTTCTAATTGGGGCCATTCAATGTTTTTATACCCCAGATCAGGACTGACCTGATCAAGGGCTGGTCCCCTGGTTGGGTGGTCAGCTACAGGTCAGTTGGTGAATCAGCAGGAAACTCTAGTATGAAACTTAACAGATATATCCTTGAAAATTACATTAGTCCTTACAGTGTTGAAATCTAGCAAACACACCCTTGGGATATGGCCAAGAAACTAGCCACTAAATGCAATCCACCTAAATCAGCCCATCACCAGCAAACCACCACCAGGCCACCACGGAAAACCTTAGCCACTAAACAAACACCACCATTTGCCACAACCAAAAACATCCCCTGACAAATCATTCCTCCCCAGCTTTCAACTGCTACCTCCCTTCGCCCATGGGTTAAGCTTTTTTCGGTCGAATACTGTAACAATAATCACCCATGATCCCATCATTAGCCACCAAAGTCCAACAAAACCCCTAACCTCCCCCACCATAAGTGATGTCGATCGAAGCCGCCAACCCCTTAGGTTTTGCGCAATGTACTGCCTTCCCAACAAAATTATGGCCTCTCCCTTCACCAGAAATTCTCCCTACCACCACCTTTTTGCACCATCGAACATTCCCTCCAAACCATCCACCATCCTAGGTCTCGGTTGCTCGCCGTTACCGACCGCCTCTTTCCTTAGGCTTTCACGATTTTTTGGGTGTTTTGATTTGATTGGTGTTTGTTTCAGAGGTTTTTGAAAGGAGATTGAGATTTGTGGTTGATTATGATTGATTTGGTAAGTGTTTGAAGTTGGAGATGGCACCAGTGGTGGAGATAATGGTTTTGCAGAAATAAAATATTAAATGACCATTTTAACCTTTGATGGTTAAAGAAATTAAACGACATCCATTTAGAGTGAGAATCTGTTTGAAATTTTTTATGATGTCAGAGGTACCAACTTGTGATTTGCTGAACCTTGCTGGTTAGAATATGTCGTTTACCTCTCTCTCTCTCTCTCTCTATGTATAGATATATATATATATATATATATATATATATATATATTAAACAGTATTAGTCAATATCAAGTGCAAACCCGTAAGCCATTGCACGGGGTGGAACCTCTTTCGATTTTGACTAACCATGTGTGTAGTTGGGTTGAATAGACAGTTGTCAGTTTGTTTTTTGTTTCTAGGATTATTCTTATAATTAATACAAATGAAGTAAATTGTTTATCTTTCTCTGGTCTCTGATCATTACATTTGAAATATGGAGACGTTGTCTGAGCTTATAAGCTAGTCAAACTAGCTAACTAGCTTATAATCTCTAAAATTAAACTGATATGTTTATTTATAACTTTTTTGAGCTTATAAGTTGAGCTTATAAATAAAATAAAAAAATAATAATAATAATAATAAATTGGGGGGAGATACTTTTTTCTTTGCAGCTTATAAGCACTATGCTTTTGTCTGAGCTTATAAAAATTAGCTTATAAGCAACAAGTACTTATAAGCTAATTTTAGCTTATAAGCATTTGAAATTTTAAGCATACGTGTTTGGTTAAAGTACTTATAAGTGATTGATAAGTAGTTGACGTGTTTGGTAAAATGTGGCTTATAAGTACATTTTATTATAAAATGACTAAAAATGGTACTCTATTAAACAAGAGTATACTATGGAATTTTAAAATCAAATAAGAATAATGTGGTAATATACTTGGTCAAACTAGTTTATAAGCAGAGTACTTATAAGTAAAAAAAAAAAAAAAAAAAGTACCTCCCCCCAACTTAATTTTTTTAGCTTATAAGCTTAACTTATAAGCTCAAAAAAGTTATAAACAAACAGATCAGCTTAATTTTAGAGCTTATAAGCTAATTTGACCAGTTTATAAGCTTAGACAAACACCTCCTATCATTTTTAGTCATTTTAATAATAAAATATACTTATAAGCTACATTTTACCAAATGCGTCAACTACTTATCAATCACTTATAAGTACTTTAACCAAACACGTAACTGCTTAAAATTTTAAATATTTATAAGCTCAAATTAGCTTATAAGCATTAGCCGCTTATAAGTTAATTTTCATAAGCTCAGCTAAACAGCCTCTCAATCTTTCATAAGTAATACCAATTACCAAAACCAATTGAAACTATTGTAAATGAATTACTCATTCGAAGAACATACAACTCATAAAAAGACAAATCCGTATGAAATTTGTGACATAAATTGTAGAAAATGGGATTATATATTGGTATTGTGGGAAAAAAATGATTTTGATAGACTTTATTTCATTTTAAAATGAAAGAAAAGATTATAAAAAATGTTGGAAAAAATATGGGTGAGGGCTATGATTTAAATGTATTCAATTGACTTGAAACAGAAAAGAATTTTTTTCAAAATTCTAGTAGGAAAGTTTGATTAGGAGAAATAGTATCTTTCTGTATAATATTTTTTTATTTGTAAGAGTATTATTGTCAAATTAAATAAAAAAAAAAAAGGAAATAATGGGGATTGAAAAGAGATTTAGTGGATTACTCTTTATTAACCACCCTTGGATGATTACGTGGTTGGACAATAACTCTTGGGTGTATTATTCAAGAGGTTCTGAGTTTGAGTTACCTCGGTTGCTAATAAAGATGATACTTGGAGAGTATACTCGGTCGTTAACTTCAAGGGCCCGGGCTAGAGAGATTAGTTGAGATGCGCACAAGCTGGTCTAGACCCCACGATCACAAAAAACAAAACATAATATATACAACTTAATTAGTTGTCGTTAACTTCAAAGCTAGAGAGATTTGTTAAGGTACGGACAAACTAGTCTAAACACTCTCAGTCACCAAAATAATAATAATAATAATAATAATATATACAACTTAATTAGTTGTCGTTAACTTCAGGGCATCGGGCCTCAGAGATTAGTGGAAATTAGTCGAAGTACGTGCAAATTGGTCCGAACACCCTTGGTGACAACAAAAAATAAAATAATAAAACCAAATATATATAACTTAATTAGTTGATCCGAGTCTTCGATATTATATTATTTTATAACGATGGAGAATAAAAATATAATGAGAAAATTCGTATAAATATTCAATCTTGTTCATTCGTATAAATATTCAAACTTGTCATCATCTTTAGTTTGACATTTGACATTGAAAAGAAAATTCAAACTTACGCATTTGCATTCGTGATCTTTTCAACTTCAAATTCGTCTTCTCCGAGTGATGAGGCAGTTACGATCAAAATAAAAGTTAAGAGAAAAAAAAAAAAAAAAAAAAAAAAATTCACATTCAGTCAGCAGGATTCTGCTTCTGCCTGAGCCAATGGGTAGAGGCCGAAAGCCTCCGAATTTTGAAAGAGCCTCTGGTTGAGATCCCGGCGACGGATCCTCCAAGTCAAAATACGAACATCTTCTGTGGGAAGATGGAAATAAAAATAACTCCGCGCAAATCCATATACATCAAGTAACCGCAATTCCCTTTACACGTAGGAAATTCTTTCGCTGAAAGCATGAACGAACCATCTTCACGTAAAAACAACACTTGATCTTTCAATCCATTCGCCCGCACTTCTTTTTGTCAAGCTTGAAAACATAAACGATTCCGACCCAAGAGAGGCCATGTTGGTAGTATTTGTATAACCATACGTGTTGATCAGAAACAGATCACCTGATTTACCAGAGAGTGCCTTATAAGATGTGATTGGGATTTTCCAGGAGCCGGCAGCTTCAGTGACGTTTAGAGACTTGGGATCCACTGCCACAGTAACGCCGTCGAATCCCATAGCGTAGAGTTTCTTGTTGTCAAATAATATCTCTACGCAAAAACTTTCATAACAAAATCTTTGATCGCCCATCTCTCGTCTTTGCTTCGCCACACGCCCACTCGGCCTTCACTAATTAACGCCATTAGTACGAATTCACCAGCTTTATCATCATCGGAAGAGACGACAACCTTTTCAACGTAAAAAGGATTAGAATTTGGTACCATCTCGAGTCGAAAGGATTTAGCAATTTCCTTGACGCGATAATCCAGCAAGTTGAAAGGCTCGGGCAACATCTCGGAAGAGTTTTTTATACGAAGTTTAAACAGGGGATCCATGACTTGGATTTTGCCAGAGTTTGACTCTTCTACTTTGAACAACCAGGTTTCAATGGATTTGTCCAGGGGTTGAATGGCGTAAACAGTTGATTCAGTGAGTTCAAGGTGACCGTCGCCTTTCGCGCCCGGCGGGAAGGGAATCTTGAAATGCGAGAGCGGCGGGAGTGGAGGAGGGACTGAGGAACGAAATGAGTTACAAACAGCCCGGAAACAGAGGGTTTCGATCCGTGTATTGAGGAATTCTGCGATTGTAGCGAGTAGATGTTCGGGGAGATTGTCCATGGCAATGGCAATTGAATTAGAAAGTTTTGATCCCAAGAGGAAGAAGAAAGTAGGAAATTCTAATTGAATCCTATATTCCTTAAAAGTTGATAAACTTTAACATCACAACACGAAAGATAAACCTGATCCTCTTGAAAGCCAACTGTAGAAGATTAAAGAAAAGGAGACAGATACATTTGACTAGTCAAAAAGAAAAGCAACCCATTTGATTAAAAAAAATCTGCATTCACAGGCGGCATTACACCCGTACGTGACATTTAATTAATCAATAGAATAAAAACTAGGCGAGAACAACATTTTCCCACGCAAGATTTGGCAAAATGACACTTTCCCACCCGTCAAGTTTCAAAACGATACCTTCCCACGCATTTCCGTTAATTGAAGAAGGATAGAATGGTAAATTCAAAAAACAATTAAAGGATAATTATGTCATTTTATCCTCTATGTATAAACTTAAAAAAAAAAAAAAAACTTAAAACCCCTTTACTTTCTTCCTTACTCTACTGCGCTTGAATTACTACGCCACCCTCATTTTCTGCCAGATATCGCTCACACCCACACCACTACGACTACAATTAGCCATGTAGACCATTTACCTCTTGCCAAGATCCTGTCCACAACCATGCCATCAATCGTGATAGATTGCGAGCTCGATCGCGTGACCTACGCCCGTCTTTGCAGTGCCCTCACTGCGTGATTGGGTTACCAATCACGCGACTTGCCTATAGTGACTCTTCGCACCACCACCGCTGCCTTCATCGTAGGATTGGGTTAGGAATTTCCAGTCACCACGCCGCTACCTCTCTCACAATTGCACCATTTCAGCTTTGCAGTCCTATTGTCGCACTTTGCGGAGCGACTACAGCCGCGGATGACAAACCAAAAACAAAAATTGTTGGTTTCGCATCCAATTGGCCAAATGTCGCAGCTTAATTATTTGGGCTCTTGCTCCGTTGCCACAGCTTGTGCGAGTGCAAATGATGTTGTCGTTAGTTGATTTGTATTAGAGTGTTGATTTAGATAAGGGTGGAGATTTTGTGTTTTGATTAGTGTAGAAGGCCGGGTGAGATTTCAACTGATTTGCATCTGGCCAAGTGTTATTCTAGTCAACTATTTTTTTTTTTTTCCCAGTTTTTTAGTAAAGGATATTTTATCTTTACATTGATTATATCATGTTAGTTAATAAATTTTACTAATCAATCTTAATGGTAGACGAGAAAATGTCGTTTTGAAACTTGACAGGTGAGAAAGTGTTGTTTCACCAAACCTTGGGTGGAAAAATACCATTCTTCCTAGGAACTAGTAAAAAATACAACATTACAGCCAACTGAATCCAATAACTAGTAAATGGGATTTTTTGAATCCAATAACAACTTTTGACATTTTGAGAACATAGCGACAACGTGCCGTGTTTTCATTACAATAATACTATAATTTTTGGTCGTCCAAATTTCATTACAAAGTTAATCACTCAAATTGCAATCAAATACGAAGTTAGATAGCCAACTACTGCCACATGTCTGTTCATCGCTGTGCTTTGTCATCCATGGCTGCAACAACAGACTTATTGTACTCTGCCAATTCCTTCTCTTCTTCACTGAGTTCCTGTCACCCAAAAATAAGCATGTCAAAAGCAATATACTTTTTAACATGGAGATAATTCAATACAAACTGCTACCTAGCAAGAGGGACATACAAAATTATACCTTCCATTTCACTGCAATCAATTCGTTAAGGGTAGCATTTTAACTAGTAAAAAATGCAACATTTCAGTCGTCAAATCTGATTCTGAAAAAATCTGCATTTCAGCAAAGTCAAAAAATGTAAACTTGGATCCCATTTTCAGATGTGAATGTAAGCTAACAACTTAGTGGGCTAATCTTTTCTAATTGGGCGCCCATTGGCTGTACAGCCCGACCCCACATTGGGCCCATTATGGCTTTGCGCAGGTCACAATGTAAAGCTAGAATCTGGAGATTTTCGGTTTCAAAAGTAAAACCACCCACCAAACTCAGTTTCTGATAAAACCTCTTCGTCTTCTTCGGTTAGAATCATTGGAATTACGGGTACGGTTTCATTTCTTTCCCAACTATGGACACCACCACCACCACCGCCACGGTCAATTGGTCAAGTCTCCCAGACCTCGTACTCCTCTTAATCGCCAAACGCCTCCCCACACGAATCGATCTCCTCTGTTTTCGCGCCGTTTGCCATTCATTTCTGCGCTCAGTCCCATCCCTTCCAAAACCGATTTCTCCACTTACTGGTCTCAAGCTTCCCTTCCCCCCATGTCGCCCAAGCTCTATCAACCCAAACCCTAACCTCAACACCAAATTTATGCTCACTCAGTCCACCGTTTGCGCCATTCAAGCCCTTACCAAAATCTCCAACAATTACAAAACCACCAAAACGTGGGTAGTCCGAGTCAAGGAGTCAAGCTCTGAAAAAGTTCAAGTCCTGGACCCGTTTTATAGGTTTCCTATAAAAAACTTGCCCAAGAAGTTACCCAGGTCCTTGAATTTGCTGGATTATCAGGTCAAGGAATTGACTAAAGTGTTCGGACTTGTGTTAGTTGACGTTGAGAAAGGTAACGAGTTAAGCAGATTTCAGTGTCCTTGAGTTTGCTAGATTATCGGATTATTCGTTCTCTATTTCAGCTAAAGAGTTTGCAGGTGTAAAAAGAATTGTGTTTATTTTACTGATGATGCTTTTGATGAAGTTCGTGATGATCACTCTGGATTGGATGCTGGGATATATGACTTGGTGGATGATAATACTGTTGGGGCACTCTCACACCAACATCCACTGAACCTCTTAATTACAATTGAAATGAACAATAATATGCTGTTTGATTCNTGAAAAATTCTGCATTTCAGCAAGTCAAAAAATGTAAACTTGGATCCTATTTCAGATGTGAATGTAAGCTAACAACTTAGTGGGCCAATCCTTTCTAATTGGGCACCCATTGGGTGCACAGCCCGACCCCACATTGGGCCCACTAGGGCTTTGCGCAGGTCACAATATAAAGCCAGAATCTGGAGATTTTCGGTTTCAGAATGTAAAACCACTCACCAAACTCAGTCTCTGATAAAACCTCTTCGTCTTCTTCAGTTAGGATCCTCGGAATTACGGGTACGGTTTCATTTCTTTCCCAACCATGGACATAAACACGACCACGGTCAATTCGGTAAGTCTCCCAAACCTTGTACTCCTCTTAGTCGCCAAACTCCTCCCCGCACGAATCGATCTCCTCTGTTTTCGCGCCGTTAGCCATTCATTTCTGCGCTCAGTCTCATCCCCTCCAAAGCCCATTTCTCCACTTACTGGTCTCAAGCTTCCCCTCTCTCCATGTCGCTCAAGCCCTATCAACCCAAACCCTATCCTCAACACCAAATTTATGCTCACTCAGTCCACCGTTTACGCCATTCAACCCCTTACCAAAATCTCCAACACTTTCAAAACCACCAAAACGTGGGTAGTCCGAGTTAAGGAGTCAAAACTCTGAAAAAGTTCAAGTCCTATAAAAAACTTGCCCAAGAAGTTACCCAGGTCCTTGAATTTGCTGGATTTGACTAAAGTGTTCGGACTTGTGTTAGTTGACGTTGAGAAAGGTGACGAGTTAAGCGGATTTCAGTGTCCTTGAGTTTGCTGGATTATCGGATTATTCGTTCTTTATTTCAGCAAAAGAGTTTGCAGGTGTAAAAAGAATTGTGTTTATTTTTGACACGACCCGCCTCGACGCTCCCTATCTCATAAGCTCCGGGTGCATCCGCCTCGACACTCCCTATCCCATAAGCTTCGAGCGCACCTATGAGACTCGGGTGGCCAAGACGTGCCATGTGGAAATCTAAAAACCTGTATTCTAAATATGTTTTCCATAAAAACATTCGCTTGGATTCATTTTGAAAGCATAAACACATAAGATATNAAAAAATAATTAAAATCCTGGGTGTTGCAGAGAGAAAAAGGTGGGAGAGAAGTCGCCTTCCTCATTGCTTCAACAATCTTCTATATGCAACCCCACACCTGTACACATATTATCTGTATACATGATATATTTTCAAATATACTCAATAATTTCCTATTTTGCCGCTATCCTCTTCCCAATTTTCTAGTTCTTTTTTGTCCTTTTATTAATTTTGTTTCTTCTTGCATACATGAACTTGTACTCTCTATATAAAAGCAAAACCAGAACAAATACTCCTCACCAGATTATATACGTAACACTCAGAGACTATAAAGACTTAAAAAGTTTGAACGTTCTCTTCATTGAAACAGAATATAAAAAGGTACAGCTTATGCTTTATCATTTATCTTCTTTAATTTGCATTGTTTGTGTCTCTTTGTTTTGCTTTGTTGCTTGATTAATTCTATGGCCTGTTCTGGATATTGATCATTGGAAGAGAGATCCAGTTTTTCATTCTCTGTTCCGGGTTTGTTTTGCTTTATAATGTTAATATGTCAAATGAAAGTGTTTTGGTAATGGAAGAATATGGCAACAGAGTGTTTTGGTATTATGCAAGCAGAACTTTGTCTTTTGTCTTTAAATGTTATAATATTCTCCGAATATTGATTATTTATGGTGACATTTCTTGTGTTACATATGCTGCAATCGCAAAAGTTTTATTTTCTACTTCGCTATTTTGGATAGGAATTTTTTTTCTACATGCAGAAAGTATACCTCTAATTTTATTTTATCTGTTGTTGAATTATTTGCAGAGGAAATGCCTGGATTGGCGATGGATGCATTAAATGGAGACAGTGGTGGAGTAGAAGAATCTAATGGAAGCTACACGGTGTATAAGAATAGCTATTTGCAGCAAAGGTCTCCAAGAAGTCCGTTGAGTCCACAGAGTCCCCGTAGTGACTCCATTGATCTGGCCATTGATGGAATAGTTGAGACGTCTATTGAGCAGCTGTATCACAATGTCTGTGAGATGCAAAGCTCTGATCAATCTCCATCAAGGGCTAGTTATGGTTCATATGGTGACGAGTCGAGGATTGATTCGGAATTGCGGCATCTTGTTGGGGATATTGTTGGGGAGGAAGAGATGATGAAAGAGGTGGTGGTGAAGGGGAAAAATAAGGAAGAGAGTAATGGCGGCGGCGGCGAATTTACGCCCAAGAAAGTAAACGGTTCTGTTGATAGAAAGGTTGCAAAGAAGGGTAAAAAGCAAAATTCTTCAACAAAGTTAAGTCCTACGGCCAAATCTTCTAAAGAGAGACCTTCAACTGATAAAAGGAATGAGAGGAATATAACGAAACCAACTAATGCTTTCTCCATGTAGAAGCAAAGACAGAAGGTGTTGGAGGATCTGAAGAAGGAAAGACAAAGTGTGCGAAAAATAAATGAATCAGTTTGACAAAATAAATGAAAAGTTAAAATTTGTCAAAAACCTTCAGACAATCAGATGTGTGCTGTCCAGCAAATTTTCAAAAAAAAAAAATTTGAATTTTTTGGAGTTGGCTCACGAGCCGGCTCAAACTCGGCTTGAAAACCGGCTTGAATAGTATCAAAACCTTTTATGAGCCGAGCCGAGTCATATAATATATGGCTCGGCTCGGCTCGAATATTCTCTCTTTCACGAGCCGAGCTTGTTAAGCTAAAAACTCGGCTTGGCTCGGCTCATTAACACCCTTATACATATATGACATAATATTCAAAAGTCACATATAGGGGTGAAATTGCAATTTTCTGAACATATTTTAGAAACTGACAGTTTAACCCAGATTGAAAATTATTTCAACGTCACATGATCTTAGTATATAACCGATACAAATCATAAGCAAATATCACTTTTAAAAGTCAAAACTCATATAACACATTATAATGATAACTAAACCCAAGAGCAAAAATAATAATAATAATAATATAAGAATATTTCATATAAGGAAAAATCATGCCAATATATTAGATTTCATGGAAAATAGGGGGTAAAATGCAAGTTTTTAGAACATACTTTCAAAACTGACAAAAAGCACCCCATTTTCCCTTTTTACCGAGAAGATTATTCACCACATTATATATATATAAAACCTCACATGCATAACTCAATACACCATCCAAATAATCAGATTTGTAAGTTTCAATTTAATTTTCCAGTCAAGCCAAAAAGTTTATATATATATATATATATGAAATCCCAACCACCTTTACCTGCATAATTTAGTCAAAAATACAGTCTAGAACCATGTAATTCCAGCCTCCAATTCATGTTTTTATTCAACAAAAAATGCAACCTATAAACGCATATAAAACCAGCCACCACTACATGTATAATTTCGGCCGACATAAAATTCATAAACACATGAAATCCAAGCCATCATCGCATGCATCATATAACACATAACCAAAGAAATCTCATTCAAACAATAAAATGGAAAACACGACTTACACATGCAGACATGAATTTCAGCATTTGGATGCAATGTATCTCCATGCATGTAAAATCCTTCGTATCTTAGAAACAGAACTCAACAATTAACACATGCACGCTCGGAAATATTGAGAAAAATGTTTGATTTTTGCCACTCACTCTTCTAATCCTATAATTGAATGTCTATTACAGTGCTTGGATTTCGATCTCCACCGTTCAGAATGTAGAGTTGTGTTTCATGAACAACATATCCAAAAATCAGAACGATCGGACGGCAAACGAGCTCCAGATCACCATTTGATGATGCACTGTTCACAGACTCCAAAACTATTATATCCTCTCCCTCTCCCTTTCTTTTTGTTTTTGGTTTTCTTCTCTTCCTCTCTCACTCTATCTCTCGGCCGAACCCACTCTTTCTTCTCTTCTCCTTCTTTTTATTTTTCTCCTTTCTCTCCTCTCTTCTTCTCCTCCTTCTCTCCTTCTCCTTTCCTTTCTTTTTTTCTGCTCTCGTTTTCTTCTTCTTCATTTTGGGCGGAACTGCCCTTTTTTTTTTTTTTTTTTTATCTTTAAAACAAAAACAATTTTTCTGAAATTATTTCTGCCCCTCAAAAATCTCTTAATTTCAGTCTAACCCCGCCACCTAAGCTTCTCCTGACAATAATGTCCAGATTTTTCCCTCTTGATACATGCAAACCCATCAGAATTTATTTCTTTGTTTCTACCCCTTAACGCAACTTTAAAAACTGACAAAAATACCCCTTTCTTACAACAAGTGCCAAAAACCAATTAGAAAGATAATTAATTAACTAAATTAGGAAATGGGGTTTTACAATTTTACTGATGATGCTTTTGATGAAGTTCATGATGATCACTCTAATTTTCTATTTAAGCATCTGCGATTTTACAACTAGTTTAAGAATGCCAAACCCTCTAGTGTTACACATTTGAAACTAGTTGTAACTAGGATTATTTCTTAGAATTAATACAAACGAGAGAAGTTTGTTTATTCTTTCTCTGATTCATTCACATTTGAAACATGGAAATATATATATATATCAGTTTAAATTATCATATAATACTATTAACTTGTTAACAATAGTCGTTTACTTATTATTATTATTATTTTTTAATGAATAGTAATTATATTAATAATAACCGTTAGAACATAAGAAATAATGGTTTCTTAAAGTCATCCCAGGTAAGTCGTAACCTTAAGTTGAAATGGGTAGTTGGTTTCAGGACATGATTGATCAGCTGATCAAGCAGTAAATGTTGAAAAAAAAAAGAAATTCCTCAATCAGCTGTTGATGATCTTAACTTGTAAAAAAAAAAAAGTAAAATTCAAATCCCTAATTAGCTGCAAGTACCATGGATGAATGCCAGATAGAGTCTAAAGAAATCAAACCAACAAACAAACGTACGTAACATCGTCAATATATATATGTATATATAAATCAATTAAACTCATTTATAATTAGCAGTATTAGTCAATATCAATGTGTGAACCCGTATGCCATTGCACGGAGTAGAACTCTTTGGATTTTGACTAACTATATATGTTGTAGTTGGGTTGAAATAGACATCTGATGATGAATCATCAGAGGTGGTTGAGTTGAGGTCGTTGCCTTAATTAAGGTGAAATGGCTCAATAAAATACTAGAAAAAAATTATTGTTTTATGTAGAAGTGATACTTTATTTAATCTGTTACTTTTCAAAGGAAAACATTTCAGAAGGACTCTACATATAATATATGCATGGACGCATGGTTGAATCCATCTACTAATAAGTTGTCATTTTCAGTATTTCTTAAAACATTTACGAAATAAAAGTCGGCAACTCAGAAGTCAAAGCTTATAGAGGCGCCATGCATGGACGTGCCAGTGGGTTTCAAACTTTCAATAAATCTCAACATTAAGTATGTAGCTTAATGTAATGGCTCTTTAATAAAGGGTCAGCCGCATAACTGTGTATTAATCTTTTACTTTTGGATGAAAACCTAGGTTTGGGTAACATCAGAGGGTGTTAATGTTTTTTATTTTTATTTTTTCTATAACTAGTCGTAACTAGGATTATTTCTTATAATTAATACAAAATGAAGAAGTCTGTTTATCTTTTTCTTTCTTTGAATCATTTACATTTGAAATATGGAGAAAGAATTTTTTCATATATATATACATATATATATGAAAAACCAATTAAGACTAATGTAAATGAATTACTCATTCGATGAACATACAACTCATAAGAAGACACATGCATATGAAATTTGTGACATGAATTGAAGAAAATGGGATTAAATATTTGTATTGTGGAAAAACAATGATTTTGATAGATTTTATTTCATTTTAAAATGAAAGAAAAGATTATAAAAAATGTTGGGTGAGGGCTATGATTTAAAATGTATTCAATTGACTCGAAACAGAAAAGATTTTTTTTTTTTAAATTCTAGTACGAAATTTTAATTAGGAGAAATATAATATATTTTTTATTTATAAGAGTATTATTGTCAAATTAAATAAAAGAAAAGTAATTAATGGGGATTGGAAAGACATTTAGTGGATTACTCTTTATTTAACTTGGAACAACATATTATATACAACTTAATTAGAATAATATTATAATGTGGAAAGGATCGACAAAATTCGTATAAGTATTCAATCTTGTTCTCGGCTGCATGTCTTCATCTTTAGTTTGACATTTTACACTATTGAAAAGAAAATTCAAACTTATGCATCTGCATGCGTGATCTTTTCAACCATGCTCAACTTCAAATTCGTCTTCTGCCCGAACCAAGTGGGTAGAGGCCAGAAATCCTCCCAATATTTTGAAAGAGCCCCCGGTTGAGATCCCGGCGACGAATCCTCCAAGTCAAAATACGCAACATCCTCTGTGGAAGGATAAAAATCAAACTCAACTCCACACAAATCCATATACATCAAATAACCGCTATTCCCTTTACACGCAGGAAATTCTTTCGCTGAAAGCATGAACGAAACATCTTCACCTAAAAACAACACTTGATCTTTCAATCCATCTTCTTCAATCCACTCGCATTTCTCGTCGTCAAGTTTGAAAACATCCAAACGAATCCGACCCAAGAGAGAACCATGTTGGTAGTATTTGTATAACCAATACGTGTTGATCAGAAACAGATCATCCCTTGATTTTACCAGAGAGTGCATCATAAGATGTGATTGGGATTTTCCAGGAGCCGTGGCAGCTTCAGTGACGTTCAGAGACTTGGGATCCACTGCAACAGTAAAGCCGTCGAATCCCATAGCGTAGAGTTTCTTGTTGTGATAAATGATATCTTTACAGTAAAAACTTTCATAACCAAAATCTATGATCGCCCATCTCTCGTTTTTGCTTCCCCACACGCCCACTCGGCCTTCACTAATCAACGCCATTAGTACGAACTCACCAGCATTATCATCATCTGAAGAGATGACAGCCTTTTCAACGTAAAAAGGATAGAATTTGATACCATCTCGAGTCGAAAGGATTTGGCAATTTCCTTGACGCGATAATCCAGCAAGTTAAAAGACTCGGGCAACATCTCGGAAGAGTTTTTTATACGAAGTTTAAACAGGGGATCCATGACTTGGATTTTGCCAGAGTTTGACTCTTCTACTTTGACCAACCAAGTTTCGGTGGATTTTTTCAGGGGTTGAATGGCGTAAACAGTTGATTCGGTGAGTTCAAGGTGGCCGTCATCTGTCATGCCTGGCGGGAAGGGAATCTTGAAATGCGAGAGTGGCGGGAGTGGAGGAGGAACTGAGGAACGAAATGAGTTACAAACAGCCCGGAAACAGAGGGTTTCGATTCGTGTGTTGAGGAATTCTGCGATTGTAGCGAGTAGATGTTCAGGGAGATTGTCCATGGCAATGTCAATTGAATTATAGCAAGTTTTGATCACAAGAGGAAGAAGAAAGTAGGAAATTATAATTGAATCTTATATTCCTTCAAAGTTGATAATCTTTAACATCACAACTTTCACAATTTATATTAATACGAAAGATAATCTGGTCCCCGTGGAAGCCAACCGAAGAACAATAAAAAAATAGGAGTAGACTTGTTTAAGAGTGGATCACAATTTCCCACGTAAGGTTTGCCGCAATAACATTTTCCCACTTATAAATCTGCATTCACATTTGATTATCCCTTACATTTCACTAACTTTTTATCTGACGCACTGTGGGCGTTGCTCATACGAAATTTTGAGAACATAGCGTGCCGTGTCCAGGCGACATTAGTTTCTTTAAAGTCGGTGCACGTCCTACCAATAATAGTAATACTAGAATTTTTGGTCTCCCAAATTTCATTACAAAGTTGATCATTCATTCAAATTGCAATCAAATACAAAGTTAGATAGCAATAGACACTAGCCTATGCCATCAAACTCATTCAAATGGTTATTAAAATGCTAGGTCCTCTTTCCAAACACACAATGGATTATTCCCATTAAAATATCGTCATATTTGCATGTATCTAGAAAGGAAGACAAACCTATTGATCGACAATCAATCAATTCAATTTGGAAGATCTTGTGCATCCAACAATGGCTCAAATAGGTTTGTCTAATCCCTAATTTTATTTATTCAGTATTTTATAAACTAATATGTATATCATTGAATTGAGACTATATATATTGTTTTTTTGTGATTCAATGATTGAAATTGCATGAATAAATTCATATTTAAATATATGCTATTAATCTTACACATACTTGTTGTACTCTTCCAATTCCTTCTTGTATGCTTCCATTGCTTCAGCTGCCTTAGCATTTCACACTTGCTTCTCTTCTTCATTGAGTTCCTGTCACCTAGAAATAAGCATGTCAAAAACAATATACTTTTTAACATGGAGATAATTCAATACAAACTGCTACCTAACCAGAGGGATATACAAAATTATACCTTGCATTTCACTGCAATCAGTGCGTTAATTAGGGTAAAGTTTTAACTAGTAAAAAAAATGCAACATTTCAGCTGTCAAATATGATTCTAAAAAATTCTGCATTGCGGCCGTGTGAATGTAAGCTAACAACTTAGTGGGTCAATCTTTTCTAATTGGGGGCCCATTCAATGTTTTTATACCCAGATCGGGCCTTGACCTGATCAAGGGGCTGGTCCTCTAGTTGGGTGGTCCAGCTAGCGGGTCGGATCGGTGATATCAGCAGGAAACTCTAGTATGAAACTTAATAGATATATCCTTGAAAATTACATCAGTCCCTACATATTTGAAATCTAGCAAACACACCCTTGGGATATGGCCAGGAAACCACCACCAGGCCACCACGAAAACCTTAAGCCACTAAAAAACACCACCATTCGCCACAGCAAAACCCACCACAAACCAAGGGAGTTGTTGCGAAGAGGAGATGTGGCGACGTCATTCGGTTTGGAGTCATGGATTAGGCTATCACGGAGTCAATCATCGAGTTGAAGTCATCGTTTCGTTGAGTTGATCCGATCGAATGCATGATTCAATTAAGAGATTAGGGAAGGAATAGCCGAACTGAGAAATCAGAATTTAGAAATGGAATTAGGAATTTCATGTGAAATTGAAAATGAAATTGCAGTTTAGTAGATTGGTTTAGCTACCAATTCTTTGACCTAGTGGTTGATCCACGGTTCGACATTGTTCCCACTTGTTCAACCACGAGTTAATCCAGTCTAATGGCTAAAATGGGTTTTAAGGTTTCAGTGGACCATATTAGGGCCCAGTTCCCAATCTGACTGATCTGGTCTAGGTTTTAAAATAGAGGGCCCACCCCACCCCCCCACCCCCGGGCCTATTATGGCTTTGACCAAGACACAATGTCAAGCAAAAATCTTGAGATTTTCAGTTTCAGAATGTAAAACCACTCACCGAATTCAATTTCTCATAAAACCTCTTTGTCTTCTTTAGTTAGACACCTTGGATTTAAGGGTAGGGTTTTATTTCTTTCCTAACTATGGACACAACCACTGTGAATTGGGCAAATCTTCCAAGCCTCGTACTCCTCTAATCGCCAAAAGCCTCCTAACACAAATCTCATTTGTGCGCTCAATCCCATCCCCTTCAAAACCCATTTCTCCACTTACTGGTCCCAAGCTTCCCCTCCGCCCATGTCGCCCAAGCCCTGTCAGCCCAAACCCTAACCTTAAAACCAAATTTATGCTCACCCAGTCCACTGTTTGCACCATCCAACCCCTTACCAAAATCTTTGACACTTAGAAAACCACCAAAACGTCATACTATCGCTACTTTTATGGATGAAACTTAGAAGGACATCATACCAATGGCAGCCCCTTTGATTAAAAAAAAAAAAAAATTATAATTTGTTTATTTCTTACAATTAATACAAACGGGGAAACTTGTTTAACATTTTCTTTCCCCCAACTCACGTACATTTGAAACATGAAGAGGAGACATATTACATATATATACTAGTTTAAATTACCTAAAGACTACGTAATATTATTAATCTATTAACCATTAACCATTCACTTATTACTATTTGTTATGCCTAAAAAATAAGGGCTAATGTCAGCCCACGTTAGTAAACACCAATTAGAGTTCAGGAAGGTTTTGCGCCATCCAGGAGTTGCCACGTCGCCCCAAGACAGGAAGAATATGGTTGTCACCAACTTAGCAGATTTTGGTTTTGTCTATAAGTGAATGAGAGCCGCACACTTGTCCAAGCCCCAGATAATTTGAGGATATCTCCTAAGTTATCAGCCAATTGGAGGCAAGGAATGACTTGCACGACATCTACCCACTTGCATATTTGTAATCATTACCTTGAATTCCTCTACTATAAATAGAAAACACCCCCCTCTCATTTTCGGGATGCTGATACTGAACCTACATTCTGATTGTAATCTTTAACTTTCAGAGCAAAGATAACCTGCAAGAAAGAGACTGACTTAATATTCTATCTGAATACTTAATTATTGTACCTCTGTTTGTTGTTCGCTATATGCAACCTCTTGTAATCTCTCATATATAAAATAACAGTCGATGTAGGATTCGTTTTAAGCATCCGAACCACTTTAAAAACTATATCTCATTTATTATTTAGTCTTTATATTCGATTATCGTAATCATTCACGTGTAATTTTTAAGAACAACTTAGTACTTTACACATGCGAGTCATTAGTGTCAAAATCAAGCATCAAAACTATTTTTTTAAAGGATAACTAATTACATAAAAATCGCTAAAACAAAACAAATTTAATTATGTTCTTTCATAGTTATCCCAGGCAGTTGAGTTGAGGTCATAGCCTTAAGTTGAAATGGGGTACAGTTAAAAGTGTTCACCTGAAGACAAATAGACTTATTTAAAGTGATGCCATTGCCATATGCACTTCAATAATTCTCTAACTATCCCTCGTTCAGAATAAATCTAAATTAATTTCAAAATTACCCATATATATAATTACTTTTTAACTCCTTCGTAAGTAATACCAAAACCAATTGAAGCCATTGTAAATGAATTAATTACTCATTTGATGAAGATACCACTTATAAGAAGACTAATCCGTATGAATTTTGCGACATAAACGGTGGAAAATGGGATTAAATGTTTGTATTGTGGAAAAAAAAAAATGATTTTGATAGATTTTATTTCATTTTAAAATGAAAGAAAAGATTATAAAAAATGTTGCAAAAAATATGGGTGAGGGCTATGATTTAAATGTTTTTAAGTAAAATTCAATTGATGACTTGAAACAGAAAAGGTTTTTTTTTTCAAAATTCTAGTATGAACTTTTATTTAGGAGAAATATCTTTCCGTATAACATTTTTTTATTTATAAGAGTATTATTATCAAATTTAAGTAAAATAATATACAAGTACTTACGAAGGAGTTAAAAAGTAATTATATATATAGTATATACAAGTACAACTTATAAGTGATTAAAAAAGATGTTATTTTTATTTAGTAAGATACATCAATGAATAGATAACTAAAAAAGAGTTGAAAAATGAATCAACAATGTGAAGGAAAATTCTCCACAAAACTGACAAGAACTAATATACATAAATATAAAATACAGAGTCATTGCAGGCCTGATATTAATTTAATGAAGAATATATTACAGAGTCCTTGCAGGCCTGATATTAATTAATGAAGAATATATTAAAATGAGCATTACAGAGTCCTTGCATGGCATATGGAGTCAATCATTCGTAATTTGAGTTACGTAATGGTTGATTCGAGTCTCGGATATTGTATTGTCTTCATCTTTAGTTTATAGAAATTAAGAAAACTGGAAAAGAGAGTATATTTATTAATGACCAATTAATAAAAGTATAAATTAAGATAAGAAAATAATGTTATAAATTATAATCCATCACTTTCGAACTTGAATATAATTCTTCATGACTACGTTTAATTAAATCTTTCGGAACATAGGGATCGACAATTAATAAATAAGACCCTGCAAGATAACATAAATAATCCTGTAAACATCTGCATGCATGATCTTTTCAACCATGTTAAATTTCAAGTTCATCTTCTCCGATTGAGTAGGCAGTTACAATCAAAATAAAAAATTAAGGAAAAAAAAAAAAAAATTTACATTCATTCAGCGGGAATTCTGCTTCTGCCTGAGCCAAGTGGGTGGAGGCCAGAAAGCCTCCCAATATTTTGAAAGAGCCCCCGGTTGAGATCCCACCGACGGATCCTCTAAGTCAAAATACGCAACATCCTCTGTGGGAGGATAAAAATCAAACTCAACTCCGCGCAAATCCATATACATCAAGTAACCGCAATTCCCTTTACACGCAGTAAATTCTTTGGCTGAAAGCATGAAAGAACCATCTTCACCTAAAAACAACGCTTGATCTTTCAATCCACTTGCATTTCTGTTTGTCAAGCTTGAAGACATCCAAATGAATCCGACCCGAGAGAGGACCATGTTGGTAGTATTTGTATAGCCAATACGTGTTGATCAGAAACAGATCATCCCTTGATTTTACCAAAGAGTGAATCATAAGATGTGATTGGGATTTTTCAGGAGCCGCGGCAGCTTCAGTGACGTTCAGAGACTTGGGATCCACTGCCACAGTAACTCCGTCGAATCCCATAGCGTAGAGTTTCTTGTTGTGATAAATGATATCTTTACTGTAAAAACTTTCATAACCAAAATCTATGATCGCCCATCTCTCGTCTTTGCTTCCCCACACGCCCACTCGGCCGTCACTAATCAACGCCATTAGTACGAACTCACCAGCATTATCATCATCTGAAGAGACGACAGCCTTTTCAAGGTAAAAGGGATTAGAATTTGATACCATCTCGAGTCGACAGGATTTAGCAACTTCCTTGACGCGATAATCCAGCAAGTTGAAAGACTCGGGCAACATCTCGGAAGAGTTTTTGATACGAAGTTTAAACAGGGGATCCATGACCTGGATTTTGCCAGAGTTTGACTCTTCTACTTTAACCCACCATGTTTCGGTGGATTTGTCCAGGGGTTGAATGGCGTAAACAGTTGATTCGGTGAGTTCAAGGTGGCCGTCGTCTGTCATGCCTGGCGGGAAGGGAATCTTGAAATGCGAGAGTGGCGGGAGTGGAGGAGGGACTGAGGAACGAAATGAGTTACAAGCAGCGCGAAAACAGAGTGTTTCGATTCGTGTGTTGAGGTATTCTGCGATTGTAGCGAGTAGATGTTCAGGGAGATTATCCATGGCAATGGCAATTGAATTAGCAAATTTTGGTTACAAGAGGAAGAAGAAAGTAGGAAATTCTAATTGAATCCTTCAAAGTTGATAAGCTTTAACATCATAATTTATATTAATACGAAAGGATAAAGGTAACTTGGAAGCCTACTGAAGTAGAATAAAGAAAAGGAGTTTAAGAGTGAATGACAATTTCCCATGCAAGGTTTGCCGTAATTACATTTTTTCACCCATAAACTTTTAGAAAAACAATTTCCCACCCATCTTCAATCTTGATCCATGGAATCTATCAATAACAGGGGTAAAACTATTAAAAAATTATTTACCCTTCACTATTTGACTTTATATTTTTCAATGATATTGAATAACATTTTCCTATCCAAACTTTATTAAATTTATTTTTCAGCCTTAGTTTGGTTTATATTAATTTAAGGGTTAATAAATTAAAAATAAAGTCAGTAATTAAAGTTAAAAAAATTTTTAAAAAACTTAAAACAAAATAGTTGGCCAGTGGCTAGAATCGCACCCAGCAATTTCGCACCAATCAAGTGCGATTAGGCCAAAATCGCACCCAACCAAGTACGAAAAATACATATAACAAAGTTTGTGTGGAAAAAAGTTATTCAGTCTCGTTACAAATTATAAAGTCAAATTGTTACGGGTATTATAGTCTTTTTACAACTTTACCACTATCAGGTAACATATTTCATTGACAGAGATTGACATGGGTGATAACTTGTTTTTCTCAAAATTTATAGGTGGAAAAATATAATTACGCAAACCTTGCGTGGGAAATTGTCAATCACTCTATAAATGTTCAATCTTTTTCTCGGCTGCATGTCCACCCACCAACTTAGTCTTTGTCTTTTGTTTGATTAGAAATTAAGAAAAGTGGAAAAAGAAGTACATTTAGAAAACGTAGAAATTAAGAAAAGAAAAAGAGAGTATACTTATTTATCTCTCCCCTGTTATTTTAAATTAAAGAAATGAGAATCCAATTTTTGACAAATATTTAGTTATTAACTATGAATTAACATAAGTTACTGAATTTAAAAACAAATAAATCACTAATATAATGTAGTCTTTTTTTTTTTTGGAATGCAAATTATTAGGATAATTGGCAATATATTATCATAATAATAATAATTAAAAAAAAATATTGTGATTTGCACCAATAAAAAATACTAGATTCCGTGATGAAACATGTGTAACAAATTGTATGAAATCTGCAATGCGATGTTGGATCAATGAATAAAAAACACAAACGACAAAAAAAATAAAATAAAAAAAATAACAAGAAATTTTTAAAGTAGTTCGGATGCTATATACAAATTCTATGTTTATTGTCTTTTATTGTTTTTTTGTGTTTGTTTTTCATGTACAAGTGTGGTTTGCATCAAAAATCAATCCTTAATCTAGGTGAAAAATAAATTTATAACAAATTTGTAAATAAAATTAACTTAAGACAGAATAACACGTGAATAAGCGTTTTGAGGATTGATCGTACAACAAATAAACACCATAATTCTTTTGTGTCCCATGCATATAATATTTTAATTAATCTAATTAATCCCGTTAGCTAAATGAAATAGAAGTAAACAGAAGAATTATTTTCTCTTATAAGTTACGCTTTGAATCAATTGGAGATTTGCATAAACTTCACGAGTCTTCACCAGGTCGATGAGATGAGGAAGAAAATAAATAATTAAAAGATGAAAAGACAAATGTAATGGCTCATAGCCTAGGGATGGGAGATCATGACGTTTGGGAACTATAACATCGCTATGTTATTATCATCACTTTGGAACTTTGAATATAATTTTAGTATTTTAACCTGAAAATGTTGTCAGACTTAATTGGATGCTAACAAACCCTAAATCTAGGAAAACGAAGATAAAGCGAATCAATAGCAAATAAATAAACTAATATAAGAGCAAAATTTCACTACGAAGAAGAAAGGAAAAATTGAAAGAGTCTCTTACAAGCCTCACATATTAGCTATGTTTTTCTGAACCTCCGGTTTGGTTTTTCTTTCTATTTTTTTGAATTTTTTAACTTGAGGATTTAACTCATTTTTTATAGATAATATATGAGATACTATTTTTAATAGGACTCAAAATTTATAAATTTTATTTTTAATTCCTAATTCAATTATATTTCTATTCTTAATTCTACATAGAACACATATTAAGAAAACCATGTGTTATTACAGTACTAATTTGGATTGAATTTGACTACATGATTAAATAATCCTGTAAACATTTGACATTGAAAAGAAAATTCAAACTTATACATCATGGATGCATGATTTTTCAACCATGCTCAGCTTCAAATTCTACTTCTCCGATGGATGAGGCGGTTACAATCAAAATAAAATTAAGAAAAAAATAAAAAAATAAACTTTACATTCATTCAGCAGGAATTCTGCTTCTGTCTGAGACAAGTGGGTGGAGGCCAAAATGCCTCTGAATATTTTGAAAGAGCCGCCGGTTGAGATCTCGGCGACGGATCCTCCAAGTCAAAATACGCAACAGCCTCTGTGGGGTGATAAAATTTAAAATCAGCTCCACCCAAATCCATATACATCAAGTAACCGCAATTCCCTTTACACGCAGGGAGTTCTTTCGCTGAAAGCATGAACGAACCATCTTCACCTAAAAACAACACTTGATCTTTTAATCCATCTTCTTCAATCCACTCGCATTTCTCTTCGTCAAGCTTGAAAACATCCAAACAAATCCGACCCAAAAGAGGACCATGTTGGTAGTATTTGTATAACCAATACTTGTTGATCAGAAACAAATCATCCCTTGATTTTACCAGAGAGTGCATCATAAGATGTGATTGGGATTTTCCAGGAGCTGCGGCAGCTTCAGTGACGTTTAGAGACTTGGGATCCACTGCCACAGTGATGCCGTCGAATCCCATAGCGTAGAGTTTCTTGTTGTGATAAATGATATCTTTACAGTAAAAACTTTCATAACCAAAATCTATAATCGCCCATCTCTCGTCTTTGCTTCGCCACACGCCCACTCGGCCTTCACTAATCAACGCCATTAGTACGAACTCACCAGCTTTATCATCATCTGAACAGACGATAGCCTTTTCAACGTAAAAAGGATTAGAATTTGATACCATCTCGAGTCGACAGGATTTAGCAACTTCCTTGACGCGATAATCCAGCAAGTTAAAAGACTCGGGCAACATCTCGGAAGAGTTTCTGCCATCCTTTCTATTGGGCGCCCCTTGGGTGCACAGCCCGACCCCACATTGGGCCCACTGGGCTTTGCGCAGGTCACATATAAAGCCAGAATCTGGAGATTTTCGGTTTCAGAATGTAAACCACTCACCAAACTCAGTCTCTGATAAACCTCTTCGTCTTCTTCAGTTAGGATCCTCGGAATTACGGTACGGTTTCATCTTTCCCAACCATGGACATAAACACGACCACGGTCAATTCGGTAAGTCTCCCAAACCTTGTACCCTCTTAGTCGCCAACCTCCTCCCCGCACAATCGATCTCCTCTGTTTTTCCGCGCCGTTGCCATTCATTTCTGCGCTCAGTCTCATCCCCTCCAAAGCCCATTTCTCCACTTACTGTTCTCAACTTCCCCTCTCTCCTTGTCGCTCAAGCCCTATCAACCCACAACCCTATCCTCAACACACAAATTTGCTCACTCGTCCACCGTTTACGCCATTAACCCCTTACCAAAATCTCCAACACTTTCAAAACCACCAAACACGTGGGTAGTCCGAGTTAAGGAGTCAAAACTCTGAAAAAGTTCCAGTCCTATAAAAAACTTGCCCAAGAAGTTACCCAGGTCCTTGAATTTGCTGGATTTGACTAAGTGTTCGGACTTGTGTTAGTTGACTTGAGAAAGGTGACGAGTTAAGCGATTTCAGTGTCCTTGAGTTTGCTGGTTCGGATTATCGTTCTTTATTTCACAAAAGAGTTTGCAGGTGTAAAAAGAATTGTGTTTATTTTTGACACGACCCCCCCTCGACGCTCCCTATCTCATAAGCTCCGGTGCATCCGCCTCGACACTCCCTATCCCATAAGCTTCAGCGCACCTATGAGACTCGGGTGGCCAAGACGTGCCATGTGGAAATCTAAAAACCTGATTCTAAATATTTTTCCATAAAACATTCGCTTGGATTCATTTTGAAAGCATAAACACATAAGATATATATATATATATAATATATATATATATTTGAAATTCTGAAATCTAACATATATATATATAATTATATATAATATATATATATATATATAATATATATATATTATATATATATACATACATACATTTGAAAATCTGAAATCTAACCCGTACGTTCATAAAATCAAAAACGGTGGTATCAGATCTTCATATCTTTTATAATCACACAGGAGATAAACATAGGGATAAAACATAATTCTGTAGCGGAACATGTATGATATTTTTACACACATGATGAGTCGATGACGTGTGGCCCAACCTCGAGAGGAAACGCTCCTCAGCAGAACTCTTCCTGTGAACCTGGGGAAAAGATTGTTTAAAAGAGGTGAGCTGAAATACTCAGTGAGTGGGGGATTTGGGAGAGTTTGCAAAACATTATTCAAACAATAGTCATGGCATGCAATAGTTATTATGAAATCCGAAACAACATGATTCTATGAACTTGTATAAAGTAATTAAATCATTCTTGTATGCATTGTATAACTCGTTCTTAATATTGCTAATACTACTGTAATCTCATCATTTAAGCGAAAACAAATTCTGAATTATAGCCACATCTTGAATGCAAAAATTCTTTCTTTGGAAACTTGAAAACATAGCTGTAAATGCTTATGCTCTGGGAACAATGTTTCCATAAGTCATGCTGCAACCATCTATGTCATCACTCAGAATGCATATGATTTGAATATAACTCTACTAGTCATGGTGCAAACATCCAAACCATCATTCAATAACACTCATGATTTACAAAACAAATCTAGTAACTAAATTTATAACTATTGTGATGGATTAAATTGAAAGCTGATTTTTTCTGAAAGTATGCACTAATAAGATTTTGGAATACTGTAAACTTTATGCTGATAACTGAACTTTAAACTGAATACTATAGCTTTTACTGATACTGAAAACTATAAGTTGGTATCTTATCTGAACTGTGGCTAATACTGAAAGCTCTCTTAATTATTCTAAAAACTTATATTGAGACTATCACTCATCACAGATGCTAAAAACTGAATGTGATTTTGAACATTCTAAATCTGATTATGATATTATAACAGAAATCTCTCACCACAACTAGTACCTAAGGGTAAATCTGCCCAACCCGGCAAGATCTAACATTGTGCGGGTTGAACCATTAATCCATCCTGCTAGGCAAATCGGTCACCGCTCAAGCCTTCGATCTAGTGATCTAAGCATCACTCGGTCAGAAAATCATATCCCTGTGTAGCGATATCTGCCTCGCTTAGGCCTTCGACCCACTTGAGTCGGCAAATTAAATCATGTGTAGCGATATCTGCCTCGCTCGGGCCTTCGACCCACTTGGGCCAGTAATATCAATCATATGATCGATATCTGTCTCCCTCAAGCCTTCGACCCACTTGGGCTGCAATGTCATCATATGAAGCGATATCTACCTCGCTCAGCCTTCGACCCACTTGGGCCAGCAATATCAAATCATATGCATGCGTAGAACCAAATCAACATCATAAGGGGGTTGGGCACTATGTAGTGGTTTGAAACCCACTTCATCTCATACTTAATCTCAGTAACATGTAAGTCAGTATTTACTATGTGCCTATAGATCATACATAATAAGGTGTGCTTAACGGGCCGAGTCGCTCGTGAGCCGCTCGAATCGGCTCGTTAGGCTCGCGCCGAGTCTAGCTCGAAATCCCAGGGGGTTTTTTTATGTTTCTGAAGTACTGGGATTTAATTAAATTATGCAACACAAGTTTTAAAAAATACCAAAATACCCCGTTATTAAATCCCCAAATATCGAATTCATTCGCCAAATGAACCCTTGCCGTAAAAGTTGAAACTTGAAACTCCTCCCAAACTCATGATTTTCTTGTCCATCTCAGCACAAAATTTCCGTCCGATTTCGTCAAACTTCTCGTCATCTTCATTCGGATCATCGGACTTCGTAATCGGTGAGTTTTGAGTTTCTTCAAAGTCTGTGAATGCAAAGCCTTATCAATCTCCATCAAGGGCTAGTTATGGTTCATATGGTGACGAGTCAGGATTGATTCGGAATTGCGGCATCTTGTTGGGGATATTGTTGGGAGGAAGAGATGATGAAGAGGTGGTGGTGAAGGGGAAAAATAGGAAGAGAGTAATGGCGGCGGCGGCGAATTTACGCCCAAGAAAGTAAACGGTTCTGTTATAGAAAGTTTTCAAAGAAGGGTAAAAGCAAAATTCTTCAACAAAGTTAGTCCTACGGCCAAATCTTCTAAAGAAGACCTTCAACTGATAAAAGGAATGAGAGGAATATAACGAAACCAACTAATCTTTCTCCATGTAGAAGCAAAGACAGAAGGTGTTGGAGGATCTGAAGAAGGAAAGACAAAGTGTGCGAAAAATAAATAATCAGTTTGACAAAATAAATGAAAGTTAAAATTTGTCAAAACCTTCAACAATCAATGTGTGCTGTCCAGCAAATTTTCAAAAAAAAAAAATTTGATTTTTTGGAGTTGGCTCACGACCGGCTCAAACTCGGCTTGAAAACCGGCTTGAATAGTATCAAAACCTTTATGAGCCGAGCCGAGTCTAATAATATATGGCTCGGCTCGGCTCGAATATTCTCTCTTTCACGAGCCGAGCTTGTTAAGCTAAAAACTCGGCTTGGCTCGGCTCATTAACACCCTTATACATATATGCATAATATTCAAAAGTCACATATAGGGGTGAAATGCAATTTTCTGAACTATTTTAGACCTGACAGTTTAACCCAGATTGAAAATTATTTCAACGTCACATGATCTTAGTATATAACCGATACAAATCATAAGCAATATCACTTTAAAGTCAAACTCATATAACACATTATAATGATAACTAAACCCAAGAGCAAAAATAATAATAATAATAATATAAGATATTTCATATAAGGAAAAATCATGCCATATTATATTTCATGGAAAATAGGGGTAAAATGCAAGTTTTTAGAACATACTTCAAAACTGACAAAAAGCACCCCATTTTCCCTTTTACCGAGAGATTATTCACCACATTATATATATAAAAACCTCACATGCATAACTCAATACACCATCCAAATAATCAGATTTGTAAGTTTCAATTTAATTTCCCAGTCAAGCCAAAAAGTTTTATATATATAATATATATGAAATCCCAACCACCTTTACCTGCATAATTTAGTAGTCAAAAATACAGTCTAGACCATGTAATTCAGCCTCCAATTCAGTTTTTATTCAACAAAAATGCAACCTATACCGCATATAAAACCAGCCACACTACATGTATAATTTCGGCGGACATAAAATTCATAAACCATAATCCAACCATCATCGCATGCATCATATAACACATACCCAAGAAATCTCATTCAAACAATAAAATGGAAACACGACTTACACATGCGACATGAATTTCAGCATTTGGATGCAATGTATCTCCTGCATGTAAAATCCTTCGTATCTTAGAAACAGAACTCAACAATTAACACATGCACGCCTCGAAATATTGAGAAAATGTTTGATTTTTGCCACTCACTCTTCTAATCCTATAATTGAATGTCTATTACAGTGCGTTGGATTTCGATCTCCACCGTTCAGAATGTAGAGTTGTGTTTCATGAACAACATATCCAAAAATCAGAACGATCGACGGCAAACGACTCCAGATCACCATTTGATGATGCACTGTTCACAGACTCCAAAACTTATATTCCTCTCCCTCTCCCTTTCTTTTTGTTTTTGGTTTTCTTCTCTTCCTCTCTCACTCTATCTCTCGGCCGAACCCACTCTTTCTTCTCTTCTCCTTCTTTTATATTTTCTCCTTTCTCTCCTCTCTCTTCTCCTCCTCCTCTCCTTCTCCTTTCCTTTCTTTTTTTCTGCTCTCGTTTTTCTTCTTCTTCATTTTGGGCGGAACTGCTTTTTTTTTTTTTTTTTTTTTATCTTTAAAAACAAACAATTTTTCTGAAATTATTTCTGCCCCTCAAAAATCTCTTAATTCAGTCTAACCCCGCCACCTAAGCTTCTCCTGACAATAATGTCCAGATTTTTCCCTCTTGTACTTGCAAACCCATCAGAATTTATTTCTTTGTTTCTACCCCTTAACGCAACTTTAAAACTGACAAAAATACCCCTTTCTTACAACAAGTGCCAAAAACCAATTAGAAAGATATTAATTAACTAAATTAGGAAATGGGGTTTTAACATTACTGATGATGCTTTTGATGAAGTTCATGATGATCACTCTAATTTTCTATTTAGCTCTGCGATTTTACAACTAGTTTAGAATGCCAAACCCTCTAGTGTTCACATTTGAAACTAGTTGTAACTAGGATTATTTCTTAGAATTAATACAAATGAGAAAGTTGTTTATTCTTTCTCTGATTCATT